TTTTTTTGGTCCCTCATTTCCTCAATTATGGGCTTTCCTTGTGTTGACTTTTTTTTTTGTAGTAACACTTTGATACCCTTTCATTTCTTTTTGTGTATATTTTATAGATATTTTCCTTGTAGTTAACATGGGGATTACATAAGATCCTAATGTTGTAACGATCTAATTCTAGCCTGATGTTGAACTAGTCTAGTGATTTTTCAATTCAGTTATTGTATATTTCAGCTCCAGAATTTGGCTCCTTTTTATAATTTCTCTTTGTTGATACTCTCATTTTGTTCACATATATATCATTTTCTTGACTTCCTTTAGTTCCTTGTTCATGTTTTCCTTTAGCTCTTTGAGCATTTTTAAGACGGATGTTTCAAGGTCTTTGTCTGGTACCTCCGAGGCCTATGTTTCTTCAGAGATGGTTTCTGCTTTTTCTCCCTTTGGGAATAGGTCATGTTTTCCTGTTTCACTGTATGCCTTGTGGTTTTCTGGTTGAAAATTAAGCATTTAAAAAAAGTTACCTCTCCTAGTCTTTGCAGACTGGCCCCATGCCAAGAACAACCTTCCTTCACTGATTAGCAAGATGTGTCCTAATAGGGAAGGACTTCCTTTGTCATTTTGTTGTTTTCTGTATGTCTTACAGCTATTTTTGTCAGTGCCATCACGCCTGAGGTGATGGCTTCAAGTCTTGCAGGCCTTCCCCAGCTATGTTTCCTTTCCCTGAGTTCTGAGTTTGGTGAAACAGACCAGTCCTTCAGGCAGCCCTCAGACAAGGTAGAATGTTGGAAGTAAGTTCTGCTCTGTTCATTCTAGTTCAAGGGAAGGAATTGAGCAACACTACCTAAAAATTGTGGTTTTCACTGAGATAAGGAGTTTGCACCACAAGGTAAATAACACACTGCTTCCTTCACCTAGAAAGTCTTGCTATGAAAAAAGTCAACTGAACTAAATAATGTGTACTTAATTGATATAGTATATTTTCCTTCTGACGTAAGCTCCTTATCTTATGGTGGGCCAATAAGAAGACCTGTGGCAGCTCATCTACAAATCACACTCCGAGCTGCACTGTTTCAGGGCACTTTTATTATTACCTTACTTAAACTTTCCATGGACTATTTTCCCCATAGTTGCAGACATAAAGGAACATGAGAAAGATAGTACTATCTCATAAATCTGAAAGGTGTTTCATGTCACAGAACTTCAATTTTTTTGCCTGTTAGAAGTAAAAGTAGAGCATAACTAAAGTCAACTATCATGTAAATTTTTTCATCTTCTAAGACTTAATTTTAATACAATTTGTTATACATGTATCAAAAGATATCAGAAGTTAACCATTATGTAGTTATTTGACATATGATTTAACTTATGATGTATCTAAACCCATGTAAAACCTATATTGCAATGAAGTTCAACTACACTTCTGACTTTAAAAGTAGATGTTATAATAACTCTGACTCTTTGTGGACTTATAAGTGAATGCCTTTACTAAGAAAAGGCTGACTTGAGACACAATCCTTCTCCCTAAAAGTACACATCACTCCATATTTAAAATGTTCTGAATTTTTAAAAGTGCTTAGCCTAAAACAGATTTATATTAGAGTTTACCACTTCCCATGTGAGGCTCCAGGTTGAATATAAAGAAGAAATTTGTAGGATTATGAAATGTGTAATTTCCTTCTGAAATAGGTATTTTTATTCTACTTGTTAAAACATAATCGCAATATTAATCTTCACTAAAGTAAAAAAAAAA